GTTACAACAAAAACCGCCAATTTTGAAATTAAATTTTAAGCTTATTCCGCTTTACCCACCCATTCCACTTTACCTACCTTTCCCCTATATATTAAAAAAATATATTTTAGTTGTTATAATTTAACATAACTATTTATTATATAGTGCAGATAAATAAATATTGATTGTAGGTAATTCGCAAAGTTCTATTTTATTTACTATTTAGTTTGTTTACTATTAATATTGTCTATGCGGACGTGTGTTTGGTTGTATAGTAATTTCCAGCCAAAGTCTGTCAAAAAGTAACTAACTTCGGAAAAAAAATAATTACTAAATTCACTAGACAGTTCGGACTGGGAATAGCGAACCGAAACGAAAGTAAATCAAATTTTAGAACAAATCAGTGAATTTAATATACAAATTTCATCCATTAAGACCACAGACAGAACCACATTACGGATATGCGTAGAAGAATTTGAATTTAGTACGTTGTTGTGACTAAACCACAGAATAATAAACAGTCAGAATGCCCACTATCAGATGCCGCCTTTGAAGTTTTTCAGCACGCGCGCCATGTTTTAGAAGGAAACACATAACACAGACATATGAGGTTATATAATTGTCTATATTTATGTTTAATTATATTTATGTTATTATATTTAACAATGTTAACATAATTGTATAGTATGTCTATGATTGCCGTAAGTCAACTAAACCGAGTTAATTTTTCTATGCACACCACATAAACAACACTAGTTCCCTTTAAATCATGGCGGAACGTCTGCGCGAACGAGATGCGCGTACTTAATTTTTCTTGGAGAGTGGGCATTCTGATTGTTTATTATTCTGAGACTAAACTAATGACAATTGAAACATGACAATAAAATTTCCACAGCAACATAAACTTTTTATGTTTACCACAGTATATACCACAAATAGTAGTGTAAGAGGAATAGGACCTGTAGTGAGAGTGAGTTACGTGGGCCCAGCCGTTTCTAATGACGACGGCGTTACTACAAGTGGTTATATCAGAGATCTATATCACTGGGTTATATACGTCATGTTAGGTTAGAGGTGGAGCGTGGTGGTATGACTTATGAAAATAGCAAGAGGCATATCGATGGTGATCAGGCAATATGTCCTATCTCGCATTTTGTCGATTTTTATATTTTTGGTCGAAACAATTTTAAATGTGACTATTTATCACTCCATTAAGGAATATTTGCGAAAATCGGCAACATTGTCTCGGCATATGCGCATTTCAATTTGGCCTATTGAAAACAGACACCATTTGGAATGCTAAATATCATATCTAACGTCCACTCTAATTTGCGTGAAGTAGCTGTGCACATTGTGCTAATTATTTTGGTATAATCACTGTAAATAGTGACCTGTTTTAGTAGAAAAAGGTATGTATTGATTCTTAAGTTCTGTGAGCATTGTATTATTTATATGGAATTGGATAAAAATCTTATTTCAATTACAAATAACGTTGAATTTAATACTTATGTAGATAGGACAGTTTGTCAGAAAATAAATTGTTCTAGTAAAATATAGGAGTCTGTTAAACGTGTCAAATGGAGTTAGGACAATTTGTTTTTATGCATATTATAAATTTAAATCCTTTTTATACATAAATTAGGGGTGACTGCTATTATTTATATTACAGAGTGATCCAGAGGAATCATGAACCGAGGAAAGAAGTTAGTGAATATGTGTAAAATACAAAATTCGATGGAAACCTGCAATAAGTCAATGAACGCACCTTCCACTGAGGTATTATTTTTTACTGGATATAATGAAAGTGTTTTTAATTTAATACTTGTTTTATAATAATAAATGTTTAATAATAAATGTTTTAGGCAAGTACGATTACTAAGGTTCCCGATATGCCCACTGTCTCTTTGATGCAAATTCTGATGCCAACCCACAATACATCGAACCAACCCTCCGCTCAGGTAACATTTTAATTGTTGCATGAAAGTCTTTTTATATCTTAGTTGGTAATTTTTAGGAAAACGAGGTTTCTGAAGTGACGGATACATCAACTGTCACGCTAATAACTATCCGAGGTGAAACTGTTGGCAGTGAAATAATTTCAATTATTGAAAATCTTATATCTCTCCCAGAAAAATCTGAATTCCTCCAGGATGTTACTTACACTGCTAATACGTCTCCTGTATATATGATCAATGATTTTTTGGACTTAAATAATATTTCAGGATTAAATCGTGAAAATGATACCGAAAGTAACACAGACAATATTTCTCAAGAAAGCTTACTCAATCAATATTTGTCTGATGATTTAGTAAATGATTACAATATTGTTCAAAATCAAGAAAATATTAACATAAATGACCCAAATAATTATAACATTACAGAAGAGCGCAAAAGACGACGACAGGCTAATTCCACTCAGTGGTAACGTAATATTAATAAGCAGTTGAAAATGGAAGGCAAACCTTATCTTGGATTTGCCAAGGGTGAAAATCAAAAGTCCGAACAAAACACCCAGCGATCAGCTCGAAAAATCAAGTCAAATTGTAACAGTACCTTGTGTCAAAGATCAAAACTTGGACAATGTTCTCTTTTTACTGAAACTATTAGACGTGCTATTTTTGATAAATTTTGGGTGCTTACTTGGACACAAAAACAGTCATTTGTGACTGCTCATGTGATAAAAATTGAGAAAAAGAGAAACACTGTAGATCGAAATGACTCTAGACGCAATTTTACGTTTCAGTATAGATTATATAATGGACAAGGAGCAAAACAAATTTGTCGACAAATGTTTTTGAATACGCTTGGTATTAATTACAAAATGGTTCAGAGATGTTATTAACAAAGTTCATATAACATCCCTCATCTCGCAGATCAGCGTAATAAACCAGTAAGTGACCAACCAGAACTAGCATGGAGAATCAAGTTCCTCCAAAAATTTTTAAATGAACTGCCTAAAATGCCGTCACACTACGCTCGAAAACATTCATCTAAACTATATTTGGAACCCATATTTCATACAATTTCTGATGTTTTTAAATTGTATCTTAGTAAATGCGAAGCTGAAAGCGTCCCGTCCATTTTCAGAAAGAAGTTTTCAGAAATAATTAGTCAACAAAATATTTCAGTTTTTCCCAATATGAAGGACCAGTATAACAGGTGTAGCTACCGAACTGGAAACATAGCAGAAGAGGCATGGCATGCTCATCAAAAACGTAAACAGGACTCGAGAGATGAAAAAGACAAACGTGAAGCTCAGTTGAGAAATCAGTTTACAATACAATTACATTTTCAGGTCGTAAAATTAGCTCCATTTACACATGCAAACGCGTTTTATTACAAGACCAAGCTTGCCTGCCACAACTTGACAGTATACAATTTGGCTTCAAAACATGCCAGTTGCTATTGGTTTTCTGAAGATCAGAATAATCAGCTTGTTGCATCAACATTTACTTTTTGTTTACTAGATTTTCTTTCAAGATATTGTGTAACAGAGAATAATAACCCTATAACAATTTTTTCGGATGGATGCACTGCTCAGAATCGGAATGCAGTTATGGCCAATGCCCTTTTAAATTTTAGTATGTTACATAACAACAATAAATCAGAAATTTTTAGAAGTTGGACATACAAAGATGAAGGTGGATTCTGTGCATGCATGCATTGAGAGAAAATTAAAGAATAGAGAAATTAAAGTTCCAAGTGATTACATATCTATCACAAAAAAAAGCTAGAAAGTTTCCAAACCCATATAAGGCTATTCATTGTGATTTCCATTTTTTTAAGGAATATAGCAAAACTTGAAGATATTCTTCTATTCGTCCAGGACGAATACTAAACGATCCAACTGTTATGGATTTAAGATCTATTTTTTACAATCCGTTAAGACATTAAGGTAAAACTTGATCATACGGAATCAAATTGAACTGATCTTCCTGTAAGACCAAAAAAAAATCCCCACAATATCCAAATATCCTGCATTATTTACCAAACGATGTAAAATTTCCAATGTAAAGTGACAACATCTACAAGAACTAAAAAGTGTCATTCCATCGGACTGTCACTTTTTCTATGACAATTTGCCACATATTGTTTAGAATCATTAAAAACTTATTATTTAAGTTTATCTGTAAAAAGGTTATTTTTATTTTAATTTGTATTATATAATCATAATGCTAGAGTCCTATGTAACAAAATATTTTATTTCAAATTGTCCTAACTGACGCACTAAATGTATAATGCAAATAAATCAATTTTTGTTAACATTCACTTTTACGTAATAAAATTTAAGTAAATACGTATTTTTTTTATTCGTCCCTATATCAATATTTTTAAAATAAAATGATTTTTTCTTCCTCCTGTAAAACACACTTTTTGTAGATAGGACATATTGCCTGCTCACTGTCGATATGGTGTTGATGTTGATGAGGAGAGTATTCTATGCCGACCATAATCATACCATAATGTAGCTTGGCCTATTTTAAAAATTTTAAACTACTTGTCCTTGTGTAGTGTAGTGTAATGTACAATTTTATGTTTATGACATTCTCCATAAATTGTTGGATAGGCCAAAATTGACAAAATGCGCCTTGGGCAAGCCAAAGTACTTGGGCAAGATTTAATTAATAAAACTGTGCCTTCTGATCAAAGTTCATTTATTCGAGCATCCCTGTACCATAATATACTCTCCCTGTCTGATATTTATCTTTACATTTATATATAAAAATGTTAAGTGTATACCATATTTTTGGACAGAGAGAATATATTTTTTGGCATAAAATAAATTTTTATTTCGTGCTTTATCATCATATTTATTTTCCATTAAAAGCATACTTTTCCAATTTTGCCACCTGAAGTTCAGAGCATATTTTTTAATTTGTCTAAAATTCAAAACATGTTTTAAATTTGCCGCCAAATAAAATTATTTTCGGCCCATCCGCATTTGGCGCTAGAAACTCTCGCCCAAATGTTTCTATCGGACTTACCTTACTGAAGGGCTATCGGCTATGTACTCTGAATTTAATGATCAAACAAAGTGTGGTTAAACAACGTTGTTAACTGATAAATAAGAAAAATGAAGGTAGAGGAGGTGAAAAGTACTGTAAAAACCCAAAGAATAAGTGCTCACAGTCATATTAAAGGTTTAGGTTTAGATGAGGCAGGTTTTGCCATTCCATCAGCTGCCGGCTTGGTTGGACAAGAACAGGCAAGGGAGGTTAGTTTATCTTATTTTATACTTACAGTCATTCATTTACGTTTAACAGTTTTGTACTTAAATACAATATAGATCCTTGAAAAAATTACTAAAAATATGTGTACAAAGTTTTATTTAGCCCGTAACTTATTTACAACTCTGAGCAAAATAAATAGAATTTACATTAATCATTTAATGTCTAATTATATTTGTTATAATTTTAAGATCTTCCCCATCCTGTTTTTTTAACACTTGACATACAAAATTGTTTTCTTCTCTGTACTATATAATGTGGTAAGAGGGTAAGATCTCTACAGAGATGAAATTTATATCAATTAATTCTGCTTCACTTATGGATGAGTTTAAAATGATATGTAGTATTTGATAGACAATTACAGAAACTATGAAAAGTGAAACATGATATAAAAAATCCATATTTTTTTGTAAAATATGTATATGAATTTTTAAAATATAGTTACTTTTACGAAATTATAATTTGTGTTATGAGAAGCTACAAATTTTGAATAAGTATAAAACTTGTAATATTTTTTTGTAAAATGTATATGAAGGTTTAAAATATAAGTTAGTTTTATGAAAAAATTATAATTTGTGTTATGAGAAGCTACAAGATTTGAATAAGTATAAAACAGCATGCATAAATATTTTGTTACTTTAAATTCAGTAAAATATTGTTAATTATTTGACAGCACTTTCCACATCTTGTCTATTAGGACCTTGTTATTATTAGGTGCGAATGGTCAACCATCTGATTTCAGGCTTCACCTGAATGTAGGAAAAAAAGTGGTTGGTGGTCTCACAAACAAAAAAAAATCATGGGCATATTGGAAGTGAATGTTACAACAAGTAGAATGGGTTCAATCCTACAAATACCTACGTTGCTAGCTTAATGGAAACTGGGAGAATATGCAAGAACTTTGTCCAAAAATAGAACAGGCCAACCAAAACCAGTTTTGTGTAGTTGAGATCTTAGCATAACATTATGAATTTAGGTGCTGAGCTGCTATGTATTAGGGCATGGAAGCTTGGACTCTTACTAGTTCTATGTTTAAAAAACCACTATCCTTTAAGATGTGATGCTATGGTAGGATACTAAGCTTATCATAGACCAACAGAATGCATAACGAATAAGTCCTTCTAAGATTGAAACAGGAAATTTGATTTATTATAAAAAACGTAATATCATCACACCTTATAAAATGACAAATATTAACTCCTAAAATTAATAACAGAAGAAAAGAGAGCTTCAGACTATAGGCATACTTCCTAGTTACAGAACTTTAGTTTCTTTAAATTCCTAAAGTTTTGTGTGAATGCACTGTTGCCAAATATGAAACGTCTATATACTTACCAAAAGTAATTATCAGAAAGGCTGCTACTCTTCATTTTTGTGAGTGTGCAACAAAAATAACTACTGATGTTACAAATCTGTCAGAATTTGTAAACAGCTTATTTGAGGTTGTTTTTTAAAACATTTATTCTTTATAATTAAAATATTTAATTATATTAACTGAACTAATATAATTAATATAAACATTAACATAATAATATGAGGTCATTAGTTTGTGGTCCAATGAATTGCAAGTTCTAATGCCAGTGGTCTTCTTGTAAAACCTTATTAATCCTAGCTTCTTCTTTATTTGGCATCATAACCCTGGATGGGTCTACCTGTTTGGATATGTCCTTCCATTCAAACATCTCTTGTGCCCTTCTCCTCCATTATGTTACATTCATAGTTTTCAGGTCGTCTTACTCTTCATCCGACCATCTTGTTCTATGTGGAAAAGAATTTTCTACTCCTTTCTTATATATTGGCTGTGGAAGGCCAACTGTCCATTGCTCCTGCTCCATATTAATATTAATAGACAGTTCCAATCCTCCATGTTTGAATAATTCTGCAATTCCGTCCATTCCTGGCAATTTATTGTTTTTTAATGTCTTTATTCATCATCATCATTGGTGCTACAGCCCTATAAAAGAGCCTCAACCTTCCTAAGTCTATTACGCCAGTCAGTTCTATCCATTGCCAATTGTTGCTAGTTTTTAGTATTCAGTATTTTTCTACTATCCTCATCTACACCATCCCTCCATCTGAGTTTTGGCCTACCCCTACTTGTACTTCCCACAGGTTGTGACAAAGGATTCTTCTAGCAGGGTTGTTCTGCTGTGATCTTGCCAGATGTCCTGCCCATCTTAGTCTTCTTATTTTCATAAGAGATACTATGTCTTTAGCACCAAATATATATATATATTTATATCTGTGATATATCTCATAGTTGTACCTCCTTTTCCAAACACCATTTCACAGATGCCACCGAATATTCTTCTCAGCATCCTTCATTCAAATATAAGCAGGAGGTTTTCATCTGCTTTGGAGATGGTCCGTGTCTCCGATCCATATGTCAACACTGGTTGTATAAGGGTTTTGTATATGGTTATTTTTGTTTTTTGGCTTAAGTTTCTGCTTCTCATATGTCTACTCAATCCAAAATAGCATTTGTTTGCTAGGATTATTCTTTGCTTGATTTCTTCCTTCATGACGTTCTCCTTGGTGATCAGGGACCCTAAGTATGTGAATTTGTCCACCACTTCAAAGGTAGTGAATTGGTGGCCGATGTTTCTGGCTCTATTGTTGGATGTTGATGCCATTATCTTAATTTTCTCCTCATTTACTTGCAGGCCCATATTTTTTGAGGCATTTGACAAGGTGATATACATTTCTTCTAGTTTGCGTGATGTGTGGGCAACTAAGTCAACATCATCTGCATATGCCAAAATTTGGAATGATTTATTAAAAATGTTTCCTCTGTTGTCTATTTGGGCATCTCTGACCGCCTTTTCCAGAGCTATGTTGAAAAGGAGACACGCCAGCGCATCTCCCTGTCGCAGCCCAACATGCGTTTCAAATGACTGATTGTTCACCCTGTATTTCAACTTTGCAAACAACTTTACTCATTGTAGCCTTAACCAATCTTATCAGTTTATCGGGATGTGAAATTTATCCATGGCTTTATACAATTTATTTCTTAGGACACTATCATAGGCCGATTTAAAATCTACGAAAAGATGGTATGTGTAGATATTGAATTCATTGGTTTTTTCCAGTGTTTGCCTTAGCACAAAGATCTGGTCTGTTGTTGATCGACCAGGCCTAAAACCACTTTGATATTCGCCAAGAAGCTCCTCTGAGTATGCACTCAGGAGACTATATAAAATACTCGAAAATATTTTGTATGCTGTATTAAGAAGGGTTATTCCCCTATAATTTCTACATTCCAATTGATCACCCTTTTTGTGTAGCGGGCAAATAATCCCAATACACCACTCTTCCAGGATTTGTTTCTTATTCCAGGCTCTTAGTATGATTTTATATATATATATATATATATATATATATATATATATATATATATATATATATATATATATATATTTAATAAGTTCCGCGGTTATACCATCACTTCCTGGAGATTTATTATTTTTTAGGTGTTTCATTGCATCTCGCACTTCTTGAATTGATGGAGGCTCCAATGGTTGCTCCTAGGGTGATTTGGATCTTCTACTTCGATAATAAGTAGTTCTTTCTAGTGTTCCACCCACCGTTTCAATACTTCTTTTGTATTGAGTATATGCCCCTCCTTATCCTTACATAGTCTGATCCTTGGTTTAAATTCTTTTCTTGCATTATTCAGATTTTTATAGAATTCTCTTTATTATCTGAACTACTTCTTCATAACTCGGATTTTCAATGTGCTGTTCCACTGTATAATATATTATCTCGTTTTATTCATTTTCATTGTCTGAGGGGTGAGCTCTCCTAGTCCACTGTGTTGAGGTATGGTGGTGTTGAATCCAGTCAAGGACCAGATATTGTAAATCTTTTTGCAGAATATTTTTCTACTGTCTATTCCACTCAAATATGTATAATACACAGTGATTCAGTCTTACTAACTTGACTGGTTTGTTTCAACATAACTCTATCTAATATTTATTTAAAATTATCAGAACAATGTGAATAAGTGTCCTGGTCCTGATGAATTGCCTCCCAGCTTTCTCAAGAATTGTTGTTTTATATTATCCAGACCTCTTTTTCACATTTTTAATCTATCCTTAAATAAGGGTGAATTTCCAAAATGCTGGAAAAATAGTTTTTTAACACTTATTTTTAAAACAAGAGATAATTTATTGGTGAATATTTTTTTTCTTATATTGTAGTCACTTGTATTCTCTTTATTCTTTGTTATTTCTGGTGTTTCGTTAAAGTTGGTTAAGTCTAGCTTGATTTTTTCCTTTACTGCAGTTCTGCATTCATCGTTATACCATTTCACATTTTTTTGTGCTTTGGCTTTTGATAGCTTCCTCTCTGGGTCCATTAGGTTAAATTGGGAGAGAATTTTTTAAATCCTTCAACTTTTTTTAATTAGACCATTTCTTTTTGTCACTGTCGCGATTTTCTATCTCCATTTTGCTCCCCCAAGATAGTGATCTGAGTCAGAGTTCGCCCCATGATACATTCTGATATTAGTTATATCTGATGAGAATGTGATGAATTTGATTGACTTCGTGGGTTCCTGGTATTTTTCACAATCCTTTATGTATATCTTTTCTCCGGGAGTTAGTACTGACAACTACATAATTACTTAATATTTTGAGTTACTAACGTTATGAATTTCACATAATCCCAACAAATACTGAAATAATTCAAGATGATAATAGAGACTTTAATTAAATACTTTAATTTCTTATCACAAAAGATTTGTTTTAGGCAGCCGGCATAGTAGTGGACATGATAAAAAGTAAAAAAATGGCTGGAAGGGCTGTGCTTCTAGCTGGTCCACCAGGTACTGGAAAAACAGCAATTGCACTTGCAATAGCCCAAGAGTTGGGAAATAAAGTACCTTTTTGCCCAATGGTAGGATCTGAAGTGTACAGTTCTGAAATAAAGAAGACTGAAGTTCTTATGGAGAACTTTCGAAGAGCAATTGGTTTGAGAATTAGGGAAACCAAAGAAGTTTACGAGGGGGAAGTCAGTGAATTGACACCAGTAGAAACAGAGAACCCTGCTGGAGGTATAGTATTTATATACTTTTTCTTTTTTCTATATTTTCTAATCAAGGTAACTTTTGACAAAGCCGTTATAAAAATATCATCCATCAATCAAGGAACTTATGTACAGGTGATGTTTACATATTACATAACGCAATTTCTGAAGATTTTTGACCCCCCTCCATGCCATGTAACGAACTGTAACATTTTACAGGACCCCTCCCCCTAGTGATATGTTTATTTTTTATTTTATTTATTTATTAACGGATATACCATTTACATTGGAACAAAACATAATATATAAAATTTTTCAAATAGGAAATATCATAGGAAAATAATTAGTAAAGTTTAACAAAAACTAATAATTAACTTGAATACAAACTAATATCACACAAATAGCAGTCTATCACATTTTTAAATTGTTCTAAGGACTGGAAAAATAAGTCCAGATCACTTTGGTACATATTGTAATATAGTCTCACCATATGAGTAACAGGCTTGAAGTATTTATAATTAAATTGATGAAATGGTAGATAAAAGAACGAAGTATGCCTAGTTCCATGAAGAGTGTTAAGACCTAATCGATTTAAAAGTTCAGGGCAATTTATCAAATTATTAGCAATTTTGTTAAGGAATATTAGGCAAAAATAATTTTTTTGCCGATTCATAGAAACCATTTTCAAGTGTTCGGCTATCATACTATAATTGTAGAATAAATATCACAATGAAAGTACTTACCCTAAGAGAATTTGTAGACCATAAAATGAGTCTAATTATAATTTTTGCCTTCTTTTATAAAGTTCAAAAGCAGGCAAAAAATTATATTCCCACTACATTAGAACATTTAACTGACAGAAAGTGTGAGACTGCTTCACTTCACTTCATCTTTTTGGCTTGCATACAAGTGCATCAGCCAGCACATTTAAGGCTGATTTATAAACTTTGCGTTGGCGCTGGCGTTCGCCGTTGACCTTGACGCTGGCTATCATACACTGCATTTATAAACTTTCGGTTGGCGTTGGCGTTAAAGTTCACATCTTAATTTCTTATCTTACATTTTTGATTTGGCATTATTAATTTTTGCTTGAAAATTAATACAATGGAAAATGAAAATGCTCGGCCTTTGTTAGGTACAGGGGCACTGATACTTTGTATTCGAGCAGCACTGAGCCATCGAAATAAAAGACAACGTCGATACAAACGGAGGCCCATTAACCAGAACAGAAAGACAAGAGGTAATTTTAATTATTATAAAAACTGGGATAACCAGCAGTTATTTAAATATACCAGGATACAGGTTCCAGTATTTGAAAAATTACTGCAAATGGTAAAACCAAAAATAAATGTAAACTATCGCTTTGATGGAATTTCTGTTGAAGAGAGGCTTGTTATTATCTAAACTTTATAAACACGTGGAAACATAAACAAACAAATAATTTAGTTTGATTTGTTTGACAAACCTTGTCACTTTTTCGGTTAGCTATTGGCTGCGATGACAAAGATACAGTTTTTTTATGTCCTGAGATCGTGACTACAACCACATAAGGGTTTGTGTATTTGTGCTACAACGGCCAACGGCAAAAGATAAAGTTGGTTCATCTTGAACGGAACCGACGCCAACGGCGAACGATGTTTATAAATAGACATACGAGTTTCCCATTTGAGCATGTTGTAACCATCGAGCAATAAGACAAAAGAGGGAATCTAATCCCTATGAAAAGGAGACCAAAAAAGTGGCCTCTGATGGCGGACATATCCGGAAATGCGAATGCGCCAAATTTAAATTTTCCGACACTTATCAACAGTAGCTATATAATATTTCGCAGAATGTGTCTTAGACGAGAAAGTTTTAATTAATTATTAATGATAAGAGTCTAAAATGCGACACAATTGTTAAAAAACTTCAATATAAATAAGATTTCATGTGACATTTGGGACAAACAATAACATAACCCAACTAAATTTGATGTCAAACAAGGAGAGAGACTCTCTTTCCTTGTTTAATGTGGCTCTAAAGATCGCACTTCCTGTCTAATAATATGTTTGCCCCCACTACCTTTACATTCCCTCTATTGTCTTTTTACTCGATGGTTGTAACGCGAACGTCAGCGCCAGCTCCAACGCCAACGTAAAGTTTATAAATCAGCCTTTCTTGTGTGTTGCAGTTTGTCTTGCTCTTAGCAATACTGCAGCACTTCTCTATAAAAAAAGAAGATTACATAATTAGTGATTTCTTAAACCATGAAAATACGATACGATGGCAGTTGTCAGTTCTGGGAGACTGCTTGAAGTTAGCACAGATGTCATATAGGATGTTGCTATAGATATCATCAAACTATCTTGTCTGTCAACACGGAATAGAAAAGTGTGTCGGACAGAGAGAGGGCGAATATTTATTCTACGGGACAGAAAGAGAGAGTAATTAAAGACAGAAGAAGAAATGAAAAACAGAGGGCGCCAACTACTTTTTTAAATAAAAATAGTAAAATTAAACTGAAGATAAACAAATTGATAAATTACTAAAGAAATTAAAATGAAATAAATATTTAAATATAAATTAATAGAGATGTGACGTTTATAACGTTACAATCTGCTGAGATCCTCTTGTAGCTGAATTTGATCATACTGACAAGTAATGACTTTATAATTTTTTTTATGATCAGCAAAGTTGATAAATTTTGAATACTTAATGACTTTCTCAACATCGTTAACAAAGAGGAAAAAAATGTAGAGGACCACAATATGACCCCTGTGGTACTCCAGAGAGGACATCAACAGATTGAGACAACACACGATTTGCCAGCTATACCAATGGCTCCTAATTTACTGATTAAATAACGATGATTTACTTTATCGAATGCCTTTGAGAAGTCAGTATAGATACTGTCCACCTGGTACTTCCTCTCAAAGGCACCCAATATATCATCTTGGTAGACCAACAAGTTTGACACTGTGCTCCTCCCCCTTTGAAAGCCATGCTGTTGGGGTATTATTATATTATTTGTTAGTTTTGATAAGTGAGAAGTAACTAGCTTGTTAAGAAGTTTTAGGATTGCTGACTCTATACAAATTTCTCGGTATTTTCCTATATCTTCCCTTTTACCTGACTTAAAAATGGATACAATAGAACTGTTCTTCCAGAAAGAAGGGAACTCACCAGTCATAAGAGACAAATTATAAAGATAGAGACATGTAAGAGAGCATGGACAGTGCTTTAATAATACCGGTGGGATTCCATCAGGCCCCGAGGAGAATTTGTTTGGAAGTTTTCTTAATTCATCAAACACTGATATAGTGACAACTTGAATTAGGTTTACAGGGTTAATGTGTCTGACACAGTTTTTAAAATCTGGAATCATATACATTAGAGAAGAACTCAGCAAAAAGGTTAGCAATTTCGATATTGCCTTGTGCCCTTCTATCACCGAGATACATTTCTTGGGGGTAACTCGAAGATTTACGAAGTCTGCCAATGTATCCCCAAAATTACCTGGGGTTATTACTAAAATTTTTTTCAATAGATGAAAAATGTTGTTTCTGACAAAGTGTATGTTCAACTTTACATTGATCACGCAGATTAGAGAACAATAAGTAGTCCTCGTTTGATTTAGATAATTTAAACTTCAGATGAGCTTTTTTCTTTTGAATAATAAGATTTTTAAGTTTTATTGAGAACCAAATTGGGAACTTGTAGGAACACTTCGACAGCCTTCATAGGAACAAAAATATCTAAACACTGATACATATAGCTGTAAAATATTTGACAAGCTTCATTTATATTATTACAATTATATAATGCATCTCAATTAATTGAAGACAGGTAAAGGTTAACAGAATTAAAATTACAGTTTTTGAAATCATAAACATAGTCTTCATAAAAAACCGACTCTTTAAAATAGCCAATAGGGATAAAAAATTCATATGGCTTATGCCTGAATGATTCACAAAACAATGGATCGACCAGCGTACACATTTAGATCAGTTATATGTGAAAAAATAAGATCCAGGAATGTTTCATGTCTGTTTGGTATATTATTGCACTGATGGAGATTTTAAAATGCAAAAGATCCACATACTGTATTCGCATGAGAGCCATCAGGAAGTAAGGTTAATGTTATGTAATTTCATCTTTTTTCTTAATATCATTTTTTCCTGTCAATAACAATTACATTGCCAAAAGTACCGGAAAGTCGGTAAAATAACCTTGTTATTGTTTTAATCGCATTCGCGGTAATAATAAATAAAACAAGAGATTCCTATCTCGCAATAAAAAACTTTTACTACTAATCTTACAATTTTGTACGATTTTCTTACTCAATCCTTACATACACTTTAGGCTTCATTCCTTATGGTTCTTCTCACGCATTCTTCTAGTTTATCTTTTTTTTTAATAATAAACTCATAAACTAATATATTAATATCTACATTTGGTAAAAAAATTAGAAACAGAAATGTAACTAAAATAAAACATTATATTCAAATTAAAATCAAGAGGTAGGTATATTATTTTGGTAAACCAATAATATTTTATGTGTGCCTATGAATTTTTTGATAGGGTGCCTATACTTAGAGTCACTCAACACGCGATGGAAAGAGCAATGCTAGGTATATCACTTAAGGACAAGAAAACAAACACATGGATAAGACAGAAAACCAAAGTCACCGATGTGGTGCAAAAAGCATTAAAGCTGAAATGGGAATACGCTGGACATGTAGCTAGGAGCGATCTAAACAAATGGCACAGATCAATTTTAACCTGGAGACCATACCAACACAAAAGACCCAGAGGCAGACCTCCTATGAGATGGACAGATGATCTGAAAAGGACTGCCGGGAAAAATTGGCTACAAGTAGCGTACAATAAAAAAACAATGGAAAGGAAGACTTGAAGAGGCTTATGTTCAGATGTGGACGTGAATGGCTAGACGAAGAAGAAGAAAGAAGATGAATTTTTTATATTTATTTTTTGTAATGTAGTATAAAAATAGTGTTATACAGTGTAGGAAAAATTTTATGGTCGGTATGGACCTTACGTGAGATGGAGTGAGAAACAGCTGTTTAGAAAGAGAGAGGTATATTAGGTCCGCCCTTTATATCGCCAAACATGCATGCCTGGAAAGGGGAAGTTCAACGTTGCCAAACTTATTGGATTTACTTGACCTGTTGTTTTTTTTTGCATTTGAACAATGTTCTAAGATAATCCAATTTGGGCGAAATTGATTTAAATGGCAGCTTACTGTTTTTTTTATTGGGAATATGCCACAAGTTTACTTTACAATAAGTGTAATATAACATTTTGATTTCCACTTTGGAAATCGTTTTATATAAATAAAATTTATTAATGTTTCGTATTTTAAGTACGATTTCCGAATTAAAAATCTAAACATCAAAATAAGCTTATTTTAAAGTCACATTGTGCCTTATTCCCAATATGAAATAATAAACTGCATAAAATAACACCACATTAAAAAATATTCATACACAATCATTTATTTGGCAACGTCGTCCGTCTGGTCAGAACACCGAGTAACGGATAGTAGAGGTGGGTCGTGGTAATTTTATCGTTAAGAGCGTAGGCATAAAATTTCGGATTAATATTTTTTAAATGCATGTATTTTTTTCGAATCCTGATAAAACTAATAAATATTCTTGAAAAATTTAAACGCAGAATGAACCAATACATTATTACCGAGGGCCAAAAGTCCGTGAAAACTTCTATAATGTTTATTTTAATAAGTTATAAGGGCGAAAAAAAAATTAGTGTGATTTTTAATTTCAAATATCTCATTCAAAAAACTTTTTGTTTATTCTAAGGGACTTTCGGCCCTCGGTAATAATGTAATCTTTTATTCTGCATTTAAATTTTTCAAAAATATTTGTTAGTTTTCTCAGGATTCCAAAAAAAATGAATGAATTTAAAAATTTAAATTTTTGTAAACAAGTAACTATGATTGTTTAAAAGTAGTTTCAAGTAAGAGAGTACCTACATAATGGCTATTATCGTTTATGTGTATATTTATTGAAGTGAGAGAAACTAATGATATATTTATTATAACTTGAAAAATAAACTAAACAATACAAATAGTAAATCGTACTTACATTTACATTACACGTTATTATTAAATCGCGAATAGTCTAAATTGACATTAAAAAACATAGTTTTTCTACTATACCTACTTCTTATTAACCGTCTTCTTTTTTTATTTCAAATTAAACCAGATTTTGAACATGTGTTCACATTTACAATACTGTATGAATATAGGGGTTAAGTTAGGATATACATGGCGATGGTTTTTCCACCGTTGTAATGGACTCTCGATACAGGTGTACATGTAGATGAGCCATCTCCAATTAATTGATTAAATATACACCATGGATTTAAGTCATCTTTATTGGTTTCTTTTTCTTGTACTGGTTGATTTTCAATAGTACAATCTTCTTGTTCGTTAATTATAGAAGTAACCAGCTTCTTAAGTTTTTCTTTTATTTTTTTATCTTCATTTTTATCAGAAAAACCCTGCACTTTAAATGGTGAATCCATAAATGTACATAATGACAATATGCCACTCTGTTCTATCCCTTTAAATATTTTTGCTAAACCCGATATTAGTAATTGTACTACGTCGGATACTATGGATGTAAGGTTACCGTTTGCTAAAATTTTCTTGCAAGATTCTTGCAGGCCGCGTACCATAACAATCACTGAACTACCCTTCAAGTATTTTTGGTCACTCATTGTACTTGTTATTTCTTTAAACGGCCGTAAAATTTGGGAAAGCTGAGAACAAATAATCCAGTGTTTTTTATTTAGATTTGGTCTAAGTCTAAGTCTGTATTATTTAATACCGATGTGGAACGGAAATACACGCCAGTACACCGAAAATATCAAAATACAAAGAGGAGTCCCCCAGGGTTGCGTGCTGTCCCCACTACTTTTCAATGTCTACAGTGATCGGTATTTTAAGAAGCGCTCTCAGACTCAATAGAAGGTATATCTATCAATGGAGAAGTTTTGAATAACTTACGTTTTGCAGACGATACAGTAATAATTACGGATAACAACAATGATTTACAGAACCTAATGCAACGCCTTAATGAACGCTGTCATGAGTACGGACTGAAGATAAATTTAAAGAAAACTAAATGCATGATCATGACTAAATCTGCACAAATATCCAATTGACTATTGAAGATACTGCAATTAAGAGTGTTAATAACTATAAATACTTAGGAACATGGATAACATCAGATGTAGACCAAACCAAAGAAATTAAGACACGTATTGAAATAGCACGTACATCATTTATTAAACTTAAAAAGTTTCTTTGTTGTCGGGATATAAGGTTAGAACTACGCCTGAGAATGCTTCGATGTTACGTGTTCTCTACTCTTCTTTATGGTCTGAAAGCTTGGACACTAAAACAAGTTCATCTGAATAAGTTGGCCGCCTTTGAATTTTGGTGTTACAGAAGAATCCTACGAATATCATGGATTCAAAAAATGTCAAACATTGACGTAACTAGAAGGATAGGAAATGAGGCAGAAATAATATTAACTATTAAAAGACGAAAACTTGAGTACTTGGGACATGTGATGAGAGGGCAAAAATACGCATTATTACAACTTATTATGCAGGGCAAAATCCGAGAAAAGCGAAATGTGGGAAGACGAAGAATATCCTGGCTTAAGAACTTAAGGGTTGGTTTGAATGCAGTAGTGCAGACCTTTTTAGAGCGGCAGTCAACAGAGTCGGCATAGCCATGATGATTTCCAACCTTCGATAGAAGATGGAACTTAAAGAAGAAGAAGTGAAACGGATTGCCTCTTCTAACTCAGTCATTCTTTTTAACCTGTAATAGGTGAAGTTCTACCTAGTTTCCACGTCTTGGATTGGCCGTTTGGGAACTTTGTTATGTTGTAATTAATACTTTAAAAGCCTTTCTGAAGATAAGGTACTTTTTTTAATGTTTTTTGCAGAATTGTCGAAAAAAGGACTTTTTATTTTATCTATTATCAAATCAGTTTTGACATAACATTCCTGAAGTAATGAATCTAACAGTTTTTCTTGTTGGCGGTTTATATCCAGGAATCTACCCTGCAAACTTTTTAAAAGCTGGTTCTTCACCTATAGAAAACGGATGAAACGAGTCTTTGCATAAGTTTAGTAAATCAATAAGTTTAGTCAAGAAAAAGAAACTGATAAAGATGACTTAAGTCCATTGTGTATTTTTGATGAATTAATTGGACATGACTCATCTAAACATACAACTGTATCGAGAGATAAACAATAAGTCGACATGTATTTGTCTGATAATATATTACCCACAATAAATTTCGAACGGAGATTGGAACTGTCCATTACCGTGGTGGAAAAACCATCGCCATGTATATCCTAACTTAGCCACTATATTCATAAAATATTGTAGAATTGTAACAAAATCTTTTCCTTGTGAACACATGTTTAAAATCTGGTTTAATTTTAAATAAAAGAAGAACACGGTTAACAAGAAAAGTAGAAAAACTTGTTTTTAAATGTCAATTTAGACGATTCGCGATTTAATAATAACGTGTAATGTAAATGTAAGTACGATTTAATGTAAATGTAAGTACTATTTGTATTGTTTAATTTATTTTTCAAGTTATAATAAATATATCCTTCGTTAGGTTCTTTCACTTCAATACTTATACACACAAACGATAATAGCCAGTATGTTTGTGTACTCGCTAATTTGAATCAACTAGTTACAGTTTACGAAAAACGGTTCCGATAAAAATTTAAAAAACGGGAGGACCCACCTCTAGTTTTTTAGGTATATTAGGATCGGAACCAGAGAATATGTAAAATATCTATGATCGGAACTATTCGTCTCACTAATGGCCAATAGGTGTTAAAAATATTTGTGGAGGGGAGACCAAGGGGAAATATGATTGTTATCTTTGTCTATTCGCTGAAAATATGATTTTATATCTGCGTTAGACATCCTGTTAAATTTTACCATACCGACCATAAACTTTTACCTATACTGTATAAAATAAAACGATATAACACAAATAAAAAAATCTAACTGTCGTTTTTCACTTATAGATAATTATTAGTTTATAAGTTATATAGACTGGATTATTTTTAGGTTACGGAAAAACTGTAAGTCATGTTATCATTGGTCTAAGAACTGCAAAGGGTAGTAAACAGCTCAAACTAGATCCCAGTATATATGAAGCTCTCCAAAAAGAGAAAGTTGAAGTTGGAGACGTCATTTACATTGAAGCCACAAGTGGTGCAGTTAAAAGACAAGGAAGATCTGATGCCTATGCCACCGAATTTGATTTAGAAGCTGAAGAATATGTACCATTACCAAAAGGAGATGTACACAAAAAGAAGGAAGTTATTCAGGTATGTTTTTTTACACAGAACAAACTGCTATATCGGCACAGTCACTATGAAAACAATTGCATTAGCCCAGGGAAATAAGCATTTTTTCATGACACTCGTCCGGCCAGGCGAACGACAGTTGTTTTGAGTAGTACGGACCTCTGTAACAAAAACCTATATGTTTCCTGCAGTCGATTTTTTGGACTAAATTAGTTATTAACAAATTAAGGTCAAAAAACGGAAAATTATTGCTTTTTTCGTCTATCAGCAAAAATTGAAGCAATTTAAACAAATTTTAGAATAGAGGAAACTTATAAGTTATATAAAAACCTTCAAAATGGCGTTTTCAAAATGTTTCTATCCTTATTTGTTGCTTAGAAAGTTGCAAAATAAGTCAAACATTTCGGTTTTTTATCAATGTTAATAACTTTTTTAAAAATAAACTTATAATATATATATTTCATAAAATGATGTGTCTTGTAGTGCTTAAAATAGGGTTAAAATTTCAAAGTGATCGGTCCAATAGTTTAAGTTATTTTATTTGTTTATCCCAAATTAACATTTTTTGCAACAATATAAGTCAGAAATTTATGCAGTTTTAGAAATTGTAAGGGTTGTTTCTGGTAGAAGAAGACTTGTTTTGTTATTTACATTAAAAAAAATTAAGAAAATTAATTTTAAATATTGCAAAATAATTTTGCAAAAACATGTCGATTTTTTGCTTATAAACAATTAGAATAACTTTTTAACCATTGACTGTAAAAATATTATTTTTACAAATTTAAAAAGCTTGAATTTTTTCACAAATTTAATTAAAAATAAGTTTGTCCTAAAATAATTTGGTACAAAGTTAGCCTCTTTTTTTATTTAATTCATAGCACCTTTGTTTATAACAATTATGAAATCTAATTAGCGCTATTTGAAAGAATATACATTATAGTTTTAAACTACTAAATTTAAGAATTATTGCCCTTTAATGGAATCCTCCACAAAGCTTCAAAATGTATGTAAAATCGGTCGGCTTTGAAACTCTCGGGAGCTGAAGGGAGGGGGAAGGCGCTGTTAACTATATCTCTATTCCTTTTTTATGTATTTCAACGTTTCTTTTTGAACTTGTATGTACTTTTTGCGTACATTACGAATATGCATTATTTCAATAAATAAATTGTCAAATAAACCACATAATTTGTTTAAAAACAATTTTTTTAAATTTTTTTAGTAGTATTTAAGTTAAGTTTGAATGTAAAACAGAAGTACTTGACATTTCCTTTATTTTGGGTAATAAGCCACAATTTAAGTTTATAATAAGTTTATTTTTGATGTTTCGATTTCTACTTCGGAAATCTTTCTCAGAATACAGAACATTAATAAATTAATCAAATTTTGCTTTTGGTTACTTGGTAGAAAATTTGGTTGGAAAATTTTTCTGATAACTCTTCTGGGTGATTGATTTGGGAGAGGAAGCACAGTAGATCTGTTTTAGTAAAAATTACAAAAGTTATTGACAAAACTTGTAGACAGCTTTAAACTTGACATTTTAAAAATAGTTACAATTTTACAGGGTGTTCTATAAGATGGTGGCAGACCAAACTTATGTTTTTTAAATGAAACGCCCTGTATTTTATTTTGAATTTGAAATCACACATCACAACAATGATCAAGTTACCTGAAAATCGTATCAAGTTTAACTCCCTGTATAATTAAAAAGGAGTCTCCTCCTCAATCCTTTAGCCCTTGTCAGGGCGTAGTGACACCCTAAATATTATTAGTCTGCTGTCTCCATTGACTGCGATCTTGTGCCATATGGACGGCTTCATGTAGGGATTTTCCCACCAAACTCTTCATTTGGTCCACCCATCGTATTGGAGATCTTCCTCTTGGTCTTCGGCCTTCTACCTTACCTTCTACTACCAATAGTTCCATGGTGCCCGTTCTTCTAGCTATGTGGCCGAAGTAAGTTAGGTATGCTTGGTTTACTTTTTTTAGTAGCCTGTCTTTTATATGAAGCTCTTCCAGAATTGACAGGTTGGTTCTATGTTCTGTCCAGGACACGCGTAGAATTCTTCTATATACTCACATTTCGAAGGCTTCGATCTTACTCCTATCGATTTTTTTGAGAGTCCATGTTTCAGCTGCATATGTAGCAATGGGAAAAATAAGGGCATTGACCAACCTAAGCTTAGTATTCCTTGTTATTGTTCGGTCTTTCCATATTTTAATTAATTTGGCAGTTGCGGTTCGGGCCATTCCTAGTCTACGTTTGATTTCTGAGGAACAATCACCATTGTTGGTTATCAGAGAGCCCAAGTATACAAATCTGTCGACTACTTCGAAAATCCCTATTTGGCGTATATGCGGTAGATTATTATTTGCTCTGTCTACAATCATTATTTTTGTTTTTCTGGTGTTGATTTGAAGTCCGAATTCTTCACTTATTCGGCTTAGCCGTTCGATGATGGTAACCATTAAAAAGGAGTATAGGTCCATTAATCTATTGCAACCATAGTTTTTTAATAATTGTTAACAATTATAAAACATATTCGTTTTCATAATATTCGTTAAATCAAATACATGGTAAGTCAAAATACAAGTACATTATTTTCTTGGTAATTTTAAATAGAACACCCTGTATTTTATATCACTATCGAAAAGTACTAATATCGTACTTCAAATTTTATAGAGTACTCCCTATACATAAAGTTATTAGTTTTCTAGATATTTTTATTTTTCCATTAAAGTATAAATTTTGAAGATATTTTAACGTTTACCAATAATTATTGTGAGTTGACCATGATTGATTTGTCAGAAACTGACAGTTTGACATTATTGTTTATTAATTCAGTATTAGGGTACATCGTAAATTAGCAACAATTTTTATTTAGCAATTCAATAATTTATTCAATTTAAATTAGCAATAATGAATTTTACTACTGATGAAATGATTGATAAATATGATCTGGATATTGGGGGAATGCAATAAAAATTCATTACTATCAGCTAGAATTTATCATGAACGGTTTCCAGATAGGCGGCAACCTAGACAAGATACATTTGAAAAATTGAAAGATCGATTTAACCGCACTGGTTCAGTGAATTATGAAAAACATGAACGAAAAAAAAACTAGTGTGACAGAGGAAAACGAAATGAGTGTGTTGATGGCAGTTACAGAAAACCCACTCACAAGTATAAGGAGTATTTCCAATAACCAAGAACTTAGTTACTACTCTGTTCAAAACATTCTATCTAAAAACAAGATGCACCCATATCATATTCAAAAGCACCAAGAATGAAATGATGATTTTCAGAAACGAATAGTATTTTGTGAATGGGCCTTAAAAAAAATTAATGAACAGAGATTTTTTTTGATTATATCATATTTGGTGATGAAGCTGCATTCCACTGAAACGGTTCTGTTAATAGGCATAAATAACTTTCACTACTATTCAACAAGTAATCCATACCAAATAGTAACACATAGTCAAACAAGATAATCTTTAAATGTGTGGGGAAGTATCGTGGGTAACCATGTAGTAGGACCATATTTGTTTAAATATAACGTAAATGGTAAGATTTATTTAGATTTTATCGTACATCAGTTACCGATATTATTAGAAGAGGTTCCACTTAATATACGTGAACAAATGTGGTTTGTACGTGGAGGTGCTTCTGCGTACCACAACGAATTAGTACGTGGTGAACTTAATGATCAGTTTGGTGAAAGATGTATCTTAAGGGGTGGCCCAAGGTCACCAGAATTCAATAAAGTGGACTTATTTTTTTGGGGTTACATTAAGAACGAAGTATATAAAATACCTTCAACAAAAAGAGATATAAAAAATAGAATCCGAATTGCATTTTAAAATATTTCTTTACAAATGCTTAGTAATGTAAGTAACTCTTTCAATGACCGCTTTCAAGTATGCATAGATGTTTTGGGAGGTCATTTTGAACACCTTACTTAAGTATGATTAGTTAAAATTACAATTGTTTTTTATGTGTTTTTATTTTTTTTATTTTCTGTCGGTTATTTTTTATAAATTTTATTTGAAACAAATTGTTTTCTTTTCTGTGTCGTTATCCCGTTACTGAATTAAAAAACAATAATGTCAAACGGTCAGTTTTTGACAAATCAATCATGGCCAACTCCCAATAATTATTGGTAAAAGTTCAAATATCTACCAAATTAATACTTATCTAGAAAATTGATAACTTTAGGTATAGGGAGTATTCCATGAAATGTAAAGTACGATATTAGTACTTTTCGATAGTAACTTAAAATACAGGGTGTTCTATTTAAAATTATCAAGAAAATAATGTACTTGCATTTTGACTTACCCTGTATTTGAATTAACGAATATTATGAAAACGAATATGTTTTACAATTTTTAACAATTATTAAAAAACTATTGTTGCAATAGATCAATGGGCCTATACTCATTTTTAATGATACAGGGAGTTAAACTTGATACGATTTTCAGGTAATATTGGTTATAACTTTTTAAATATACGGTATAACATAACAAAACTTTACATTATTGTGATGTGGAAGTGTAGCAGATTTCAAATTTAAAATAAAATACAGGGTGTTTCATTTAAAAAAACATAAGTTTGGTCTGCCACAATCTTATAGAACACCCTGTAAGATTGTAACTAATTTTAAAATGTGGAGTTTAAAGCTGTCTAAAATTTTTGTCAATAATTATTATTGTAATTTTTACTATAACAGATCTACCAAGTTTCCTCATACTAATCAATTACCCAAAAGAGTTATCAGAAAAATTTTCTACAAAATAACCAAAAATAAAATTTGATTAATTTATTAATGTTCTGCATTCTGAGAAAGATTTCCGAAGTAGAAATCGAAACATCAAAAATAAACTTATTATAAACTTAAATTGTGGCTTATTCCCCAAAATATAGGAAATGACAAGTACTTACATTTTTCATTCAAACTTAAATACTACTAAAAAAATAAAAAAAAAATTATTTTTAAACAAATTAGGTGGTTTATTTGACAATT